CTCCACATGTCCGCAGCATGACACCTGTCAGCTGTCCGATCACCAATCCGTCGTGCTTCATCGGCATGTTCCTGTGGGAACCCGATCCCTGGCTGTCCGATCACTGATGACTCAAGCATAGCCTCGATGTTTTAAATAGACCAGCGCTTATCCTGGCGCTTAGATAACGAGATAAGGCGTTGTCCGATTAGATAGCCTGCTTAATCGTGACATTACCCCCCTCTTAGGGTCGGCGTCCCGACGACCGTGAGAATCCGTCACACCTCGACTGAGGTACCACGCGAGCATCCTTCGTTAGGGAATTTCTCCACGATCATCCTTCGTCTTGTGATTGGGTCGTATAGATAGCGAGTTGGATAATCAGCCGACTCCTGCTTCGGCTTATACCGCTTGATAAGATAATCCCAATGCCTCAGCGGCAAGACCGGAATCCCCTCGGTCTGCGGCTGTTCCTGGGCATCTCCTGGGGACTTAGCGCCTAGCGCTTCCTTTGGTGGCATCAAGCCTAATTTCCTGAGCTCTGCCGCCAGCGCGTCATTGCTCTCCTTCGACCTTCCGGCAATCAGGTCCTCCGCCCATCGGCGCAAGTCATGCTCTGCATTGTACTTGTTGAGAATGTCCGGTGCATTCTTAAGGTTCCGGTGATAAGCCGTGAAACCAAGTACACATGAATTTTGCGATTTTGCACGATTCAGCGTGTCAACACGCACTGAGGGACCATCAGGGCACTCTGACTGAGTGGTTCAGTCTATTAGCACAAGCTACGAGGTTAACGAGGACTTCTACCGGTACCTTCACAAATGGGGCCACCAGATATCTTAGTTAACTAAGGAAACTTGACGATGGTGGCAGAGAAACTAGGACATACAAGGCCTAAGGCTGCTTGCTAGGACACAAACAGAATACCAAAGAGGTTGCGAGGTCAAATATACCAAGTGCTGGCAGGCAACAGTGGGAAGAACCCAATTATTCGCGACAAGACTATTTAGACCTGTTTTACCCAAAACTGAGGACGCGTTTGATCACGCATTGGGTCCAGACCGAGTCTGGGGATGACTTGAACAGTAGGACATGATCCAGCCGTTTAGCCGCGAGGATAAACCAGAGAGAGAAAGACAGATTGCGATATTGTGGATGAACCACCAAACCAAACCACGGATTATGGGGTATCATTAGGAAGGTAGAAGAGATGTGCATGAGCTTCAAGACTAATCAGGCCCGGGACAAGAGGCTACAGACGAAGAAGACACTTTCTATCCACTTAATCAGCAATCACATGTGTCGTGTCAAACACCACATGTCCACCATATGTCTCCACAAGACACGACCAATCAGGAGCCAGGGATTAGGATTCAGGTGCCGCGAACCAACGGACATTGTACAGTAATCATCGTGATGTAAACAATAGGGCAGTAGTATAAAAGGGCAGCAGAAGAAGAGGGCAAGCTAGCACATCTAGGGGCGCTGTACACGTTGTGTCAGCCACTGGAACCGTCGCTCTGATAGCCGTGGAGGTTAGATTGCTTTGAACGAATCGTATACCAGACTCAGAATCAGAACACGGCAATTGATAGAACACGGCAATAGTCAGAACACGGCAAACAGACCCAGAACATTGAACAGAACACTGAAACAGTCGAAAGACACAAAAAGTGCAGACTTAACGGTCTTAAAACCTACCCTATACTGTCTCCTTGACGTCCTAGACGTTACTTGTCCAATACAGCTTGACTTGACCAGTCAAACCTTGCAAAAGCGCGAGCGACCCTTAGTTAACTAAGCGATCGACCGAGAAACCAGCTGCTATCAAGTCTAATACTTGACTTACACCCCCGAACTTGCACTCTGACTCTCTCTATTGAGGGGTTAGTTGTTGATAGTGTTGTGTGTTGTGTGTGGTTTAGAGTTCATAGCTCTGCTGCATTAGCATTTCGCATTTCGCATTCACACATACCTGAGAGTTAGCGTTTTCACCGGGCCCTCCGTTCCCGCTCCCTCCGCGTGCGATCGCGCACCTCGCGGTCGCTCCGGTCCCCCCGCTCCATTCGGGGGTTCCGGCGCGTCCGCGAGGGCCCCGCAACCGGTGCTGACCCTTGGCGATGGGCCTCCTGTGCCGCGCGTCGCTTGTTGACGCGAGGCGGTCCAAGGGGCCGCGCGCGACTGCACTGGATGTGCTTCGCCCGGCACCGGCGGCAGGCGGTGCGTCCCGCCTCGACCACACACACCTCCCCACTCCTCCGGCAAGAGTCGCAAGCTAAGAAAATCAAAACCGTTAGTACCGGAACCTCTGGTTTTCACTGCGACGCACCGTTCTCCCCCTCCTGCTCGACGTCGCTGTCGTCCTCGTCGTTCAGCTCGTCCACCTCGCCTCCCCCCTCCGCACGCTCTGGCGACACCGACTTCAACGTTTCTATCACCGGCAATTCGTCGAATTCCGGAGCCTCCGCGTCGAGCGCCTCCAGGTCTCGAATGAGCTGGAGGGCACGAGCGGCCTCCTCATTCGCCACTTCCGCGCGTTGCGCGGCCTCCTCCGCCTGTTCCTGGTACGCCGAGATAAGGCATACCCGGCGCTGCTCCCTCTCCTCGTAGAACCGCTGGGCGGCCTCTTCGCGCAGCTCCGTCGTGGTCGCTCGTGCCTTCCCCTTCCCGGATTTTTTGCCGTTGCCGGCGTCGCTGCGGTCGCTGTGGCTAGACCCCTCGCGCCCACCGTTGCTATTTCCGTTGGACGACATCGTTTTCTGGTGTTTTTGTCCGGAGGTGGTGGTGGAGCGAAAGAAAGAAAGGTCTGAGTCAAAACCAACAGCACGTGACTTTTTGATCTTGTTTATTTTCCCACGCTTCTTCATTGTTCGACAAACTTCATTCCTTTTGGGTTCCTCATGGGAGAGGAACCTAAGAGGGGGATACTGTTATATCCATGCAACATCCCCAGTATTCTCGTCGACCTTCCGGTAGCTCCGGTAGGTTCCGAGGCTCCGGTATACTACCGGAGCCTCCGAACCATCCGGTACCATCGGGTTTTTACGCAATGAAGGATTACTGAGCGTTTCCCGTTTATCCGTCTTCCTTCCTTTCCACTTATTGTCATACGACTTCTCATCAGCCCATCTGACTTGACTTATTGTTAAGAACCACTCTCCTTCCTTTTATGGAATACAATTAGATACTTAGTATAAATACGTCTTTAATATTTCCTGTACGTCAGATTGATAATTGACGTTGCTTGGCTCATTTCCCTTGCACTGAGTCGTCTCCGTTCTCTCCGGTTCCCTCCGGTACTCCGACTCGTCTTCCTCTATCGGGTACCTGCCGGTTAGGGTAGTCGCTCACCCTTGACCCCCTGTGGTGTTGTGATCCTCCTCCGTATACGTTCCGGACCCTCCGGCTCTCCGACGCTCCGACATACCGGAGCCTCCGGTCCTTCGGCCATTTACTCTTCGGGTCCACCCCGGCTCGGTATATAACAGCAGCACAGAAATACACATTTAATGCATTTTCAGGCTTGGCCAAATTGCCAGCTTATCAACGACCTTCTGACTTGTCTTTTCCCTATTTCTCCACCAATTCCTGGCCGATTGACAAGTTTGTGGGCTCGTTCTCTTCCCTTGGTCTCTGCGAGTGACCTAGTCTCATGCAATATGCTGGAATACATTTTCCTCGCATCGTCTATCATGCAAAAGATCTTCCACCTGAGCTTGAGTTTCACAAACCGGACACCTCTACAGCGAGCGACACAAGGCTGCTACTGACCCAGAACTTGATGACTGCATCAAGGATGGCCCACTCTGTATTGTTTCTGGTCACTCAACATTTTCACTTCCCAATTTCCTGGTAACGGCGGAACTCTACGGCAAACCGTGGAAATTCAGTTGCACGTATAAGTGGACTTTTTACGAATGGTTGTTGGCATGTGGGTGGCATCCCTGGTGGATAGGCCATCCTAGTACATCCTATGGAGTCATATGTATCTCCATCTGAGGTCTCAATACCCTCTGTAGTTTGTAACCCACTCCATTCTGCCCAGATCCCATTTTTACTCATTCCGGTGACTTAAGAGCGAAATATTTATTGTCTTCATATACCTCAGATGTACATTTGGAGTGTCTAGAATAATGTAATTATATCTCCTCAATGATATTGGATACACTGAAATGGCTGGCATGAGTCTTAACAGACGGTTTTGCAAGGTGGCCGACTAGCCTGTTTTTTCTATTTTGGGATACCGCCAGAAAATAAATTCGGTAGACCATGAAATTGCCGCGTAAATTCGCGTAAATTATCTCAAGTCACTCCCAGGAGGCATGCCTTTGATTAAAAGTACATAAACCTGTATCTAGTCCCCTGGATGTGCGTGCTCGACGTCAAAAATGCTAAGGTGGCCGAGTAGGCAGTTTCTGATAATAGCGGAAGTTTGAAAGTCAATGAAAAAAAGAGAGAGCAGAAAATGTGATTTTTCCTGCTCTACTGTTTCATGGATCTTGGTTAAAAAAGGAGTAGGAACTCAACATTTTCATGAAAAAAAGAGCAGAAAAATGAAAATCTCAAAAAAGTGTAGCGGAATATCAAAAGTGCACTTTGACCCTCATACAGAAAATCCTATTTTCCCCACACCACTGTTTCACGGATCTTGAGGAGCGGGAAGTTGACATTTTCATGAAAAAAGGAGCGGAAAAATGAAAATCTTGAAAAAGTGGAATATTAAAAGTGCACTTTGACCCTCATAAAGAAGTGCTTCCAGAGGGGACTACAGAAAGAAAAAGGGGGCTTCTGGAACTTCTGGTACATAAAAGGGAGCACACTGCTAGCAATATCAGCAGAATTCAAACCTGCCATCCCAGAATAAATATCATGGGAAATCTGATCATGACATTCCAGGCGAAGGGAGAATTAAATCCCGGAAGAAGTGGACAAAAACTATCCAACAGAGACGTGTTTAAAAGAGACAGTGTCTGAGACAGACAAAGACAGTTGGGCAAAAAAAATGACTTTGCTCAGCAACATGACATGGCCAGGAACTGAACCTGGAACTCCAGAAGATGCTACTAAATGCTGGAATCTGGCACATACCACTATGCTATGGCATCACTCAGGCCAACTGGATGTAAGATAGAAATCAAACTCTGTAGGACTCAGTTAGCAGAAGACCAACTCAGGAGGTCGAAAAGGGGCAGTCTGAGCTTACTTCCGGATAAACAGGGATTGCACAAGACACCAAGAACAGCAGTACAGAAGTTCCAGGGGCATAACAGACACCAGAAGAAAGATTGTGATGGCTTGAGAATTTCCATTAGTGCCATATGGAGGGACCACAAAGTGCTTGAAGGCTGTATGCTCTTCTAGGATATAAATATGGTTCATAGTTGGTAGTAGAAATTATTTTGTTTCCCCCCTTGCAATCCAAGGCTTGGCATCTAAAAGATAGAACAAGGACAGCCAATACCGAGAAATTAGGTCACTGAGACTAAGGGACAGACCTTCATCCTTCCTTCCCAGCTTGAACCCCTTACTACCCTCAAGTGACAGAGGGATAGCAACCCACAAATATTACACAAAAAGTTCTACACCCTGCAGGAGAAGTAACAACAACTTCCAGAGAGACAAGAACTCTTGAACAACATCACAGACCCACGAAATAAGGCCTAGTGTGTAGTCTGTCTTAAACCCCATCGTCATATATAAGCCATCCAAGGTTGAACAAACAGTGGCATAACCTATTGAAACAGACATTAAAAAACTTCACTTGCTGAAGTTCTGGACGACTGAAGGGGCATAGAAAGGAACACAGTAGAGAGGGATAGTGTGGAACATACATTGGACATTAACTGCAGCCACACTCACTTCATTCCTCCAGTAGAAACAAGTCCTGGAACGCACACGGACCTCCTGGAGCTTTCCACAATAAACCTTCACATTCCCCTACTAAAGCCCTACTCAAGAACACATCACATCAAGAGGACCTCTATCCCTTTGATTGTAGAAATGGAACAGTTTTGCCTTACAGGAAGGCTGAACCAACCCCTCTCCACAGGAATTTAGTGCATTACACAAACATCAGGAGCGGATATTTACACACACACTTCCCTATACAAATAAATTCCGTTATAATCACTGCAAAAGGTTCTAGCACCACAAATTTCCCCCTCGAGGACAATAATGCTAACATCTGAGTGAGCAAACTCCTCATTCAACAACAGTACTGCAGTCTGCATCACACCATACAGTTGGTAGAAACTCATTGGAGGCATCTTCCTGCAGTACATTACTTGGAGGAGAAGTCTTGCAGGAAGACTACTGAACACTGGCTGCCAAATAATTCCATGAAGTACATTTCATGAATGGGAAGCCATGGAGGACCCCAGTAGAATTTCAGAACTGCAGGAGAATTGCTGGAAGGATTCTAGTGGACTGTAATCCTTGAAGTGAAATTGTTGCAAGCACAAGTTTGAATAGAATGAGTGCTACTCAAGTGGGTGCTTCATTGTCTCTATGTGCATGAGTCAGGATAGTTATATGCTTTGAGTGGGGAAAAGTTGTATATTGGGTGAGAAGATCAAGAGTGCATGGGAAAGACTGGATAGAAACTGATGAACAGGCATCTTCCAAATCATTTCTCTCTTATTGAGTATGTTGGAAGGATAGGAATGATGGTGGACAAATGTCTGCTGGGCAGTCTGCCAGACAATCCCTTCCAGAGACTTTTATGAAGGGACAAATCTGATGGCAGCTGATGGCGGGATGGGGTCGGGATGAAGTCGGGGTTGCTGTTGGCAAGTAGTTTTTGCTGCAATAACTGTGAAAATAAATTCATAGACATGAGATCCTTGGGTGTCCCCAGTCAATTCTTCCCCACTGCGTCCTTCATAGCATGACGAAAAGTTACCCATTTATGTGGTTCCTGCCCGTCAAAGGGCCGGAAAAAACCCCAAAAATGGCTGGGAAAAAAGGAGGCCATACACCAGAAAACATGGCTCATTACCTGGATTTATCTGACTGCCCTTTGGATCAAATGTGGGGAGAAAGGTCCAAAGACCCACAAAGTTTGTATTCGCTGAACTACTAACTAGATGGGTTTGTTTCCATCCCACTGCCAAAAAACCGCCAAGACCAGCCAAAAAAGAATCAGGGAAATGAGGTAAAGACAGTTGAATCTACACCAATAAATTCTGCTCATTACCCGGCTCTCTTTGACTTGTTCCAGCTTGAACCCCGACAGGAATCATCCATCATATCGTGATGACGGTGGTATCATGGTTCACCACGTGCGAGGGTAGTCTTGTTGTTACCACGGGGTCTTGATTGTGGTAGAATCTTATTACATAAACATTGGAGTTTGAATTTCCCCTCAAGCGGTAGGTCAAAGCCGACGCGTCATTGCATAAATTGAATACACAGAATGAGTCTTACATCCATTCCTGTACACTCTGTCTCTTCAGATTTTTGAAAAGTAAACATGAATACCGCTTTTGAGGGACCTCCGATAATCCCGTGATCTGTCGGCCGACGCACATAAAGTATTCCACACAGGCTCTATGGCACCTCAACAAAGTCTTGGACGAGGGCACAATCAATCAATAGGTTGGGCATACCTTCTGAGGAGGTAATCTAGTCAGAAAAAGAGGTATGTTGGTGGCGGGACTTTTTTACTTGGAAAAAGTTTACGTAATAAAGTTCTACAGCGATCAAGACCCCGCGGTAACTAACAGACTTCAACAAACTGAGGTACGAAGTGATTCTTGTTGAAGCGTCTGTCTACCAGAGACTAGTGCGAGGGGTGCTAGATAGAAAAATGTTATATAGCACCTCCGTAGTCTCTCATAGCCAGACTTCAACATGTACCTCGGTTTGTTGAAGTCTGTTATTAAGTGCGGGGGTCCGATTGCAGTTCACCCTTGTTACGTAATCTTCGCTTAGCTTGTTGAGGTCGCTTTCGCTCTGCGGCACCTTTTTCTCCATATTCTTGGTGTGGAACTCAGTCTTGGAGCCTATTAGTGATGATCTGTCTCTTTGGATTTTTTCAATGGTTCTTCAATCCGTCCAGTAGCTCGTCCTTCAATATGATGGGACATCAATGTGACAAAACCCATCAATTTGACTGGTCAATAACTTCGGCCCATGGGACTCAAAAAATCTGAAAATATTTGGGTATGCAGAAAACATCTTTTATTCCTCTGCTGAAGATAAATCCCGGGTTCAAGAACCGGGGCAAGGGCCTCAAAATGTGATTACGTAACAAGGCTGAACTGTGATTACGTAACAAGGCTGAACTGTGATCGGACCCCCGCACTTAAAAATGGACTAGCACCCCTGGCACCCGTGCCAAGTAGATTTATCCAAATTCCAAGCGCGTACTGAGGAGAAGAATAGTATCAACTCCCACCGGGATCCCCTCCTCCCGTTCTCCTCGTCAAGTTGCGTCGATGTCTCGATGGTCTGCATCATCTGAATCAAGTTTCAAAAAAAAAAGAAGTCAAACTGATCATCGATCATCGATCAAACTGGCACCATCAAGGCCAGCGAGTGTCAACATTTTCAACAATACTTACCTTATGCATATCCACCGCCAATCACAAGTACCGCCGCCACAAGCTGCCACAAGCTGCCACAAGAGTGCAGAGATCACATGCTTTTCAAGGCTTTTCACAAGTTTCCTTGACTCCGGCGTTTCCGTTTTGGGACGCTAGGATGATGGCATTTTTCATGCTCCACCCGTAACCAGGACCCGCGTCTTTTAATGTTGAGTACGGTATCTTCTGCTCCCCCACATCATCATGTGCCAGGCTCGATCCAAGCCTATCCAAGCCCAATCTCAAAATCGTGCACTTGACCGACAACGGCTTTATAACCGGATGTCTCCGATGTGGCACGCGTAACGCTGATCCTCGCGATCGATTTCCCTTGGCATTGGCAATTCTACAGTGTGCACCTGCACACGACCGCGAGATTGTTGTGGTGTCCCGCCCCCTCGGCCCTCCGTAACTATGCACTGTTCTGCCTATATCTTCATTTACCTTACTCGAATTTGCGGCATTGCCGTCTTCTTTATCATCCAGGTCACGGTTCCAATGGATTTATGGAAATATTTTACGAATTCTAAAACTATAACCACCAAAGTGCGCAAGAAGGCGCAAGATTCGCGGAGGGTTTTTGGGTGGTTTTGACACAAACACGGACTCCCTCGTTTCCCTGGTTGCCCTATCTCAGCCTGATGTGCTTGATGTCCTCATTTGATCTGCAATGTTCATGGCAATAGCATGTGAACGTTATCTCGCCCCATGCTATTACCCCACTAGATTTCGGTACAGCATGCGGTCCGGAAACATGGCTCTACCCTGAGGGCGGATAGCTGGGCGGATAAAAGCAAGTGCGAGCATCTGAAGAAGCATATTGGTCGTGTTTTTCCCGCCATGTCCGCAATGAAGGGTAGTTCCAGCACCGTCGATTTGGAAAAGCTTCACGATGGAGACGCCGCCGCTCTCGATGCCGTTGAGATTACCGACTTTGAGGACCCTAACGTCGAGCCCGGCGTCGATGGACTTTCTGGTCAGTCGCAACGTGCTCGTCCATTTTTATCGATGTTTATGGTTTCCTCAGAGGACGATTCCCCCTACCCGGAAGTCCGCTCGGCGGTCGCCAATACCGATGACCCCGCCATCCCCGTTTCCACCCTCCGTTCTTGGGTTCTTGGATTAATCTGGGCCATCATCATCCCTGTATTAGTTTCTTCATTATCTTGCGATTTGTGATTGACGAAACGAACAGGGCTTGAATCAATTCTTTTTCTTCAGATACCCCTCCGTCACGGTCACTGCAGTGCGTGCATTAGCTCAAATCTTGCCTCGATCGCTCAATTCATATTCCCAAGGTCATCGCCCAATTACTCTCCCTTCCTCTTGGACGCATCTGGGCGAGAACCCTTCCCAATGTGAAAATATTCGGTCTGGAGCTGAACCCTGGACCATTTACGATCAAAGGCGAGAAATCTTGTATCTTGTATCGTCGACATACTGGAGCTAACCCTCGGACTGTTTCAGAACATGTGCTCGTCACTATAATGGCTTCGGTAGGAGCTGGCAGTGCCTAT